CCTCCCCCTCCCGCGCGTCCCTCGTTTCCTGCCGGCGCCCGTTGCCATGACGACGCCGCTCCCGGGCCTCTGCGCTCCCGGCCCCGGGGTTGGGTTTTTTTCCCTCGCTCGCTCGCTCGCTCTTTCCCTTCTTTTTTTCCCCTTCTTTCTCTCCGACTTCGGCTCGCCGGTGGGAGGGACGAAAGTGAGGAAGTGCTGGCCTCTAGTGGGGAACTCCCCTCGCCCACAACTGGCCAGGGAGATGGGCGAAGAGGGGGAAGTGACGTGAAAAGGGGGCAAAAAGAAGGTATTTTCTGGAGCTTCTGGGAATAAGGGATAAAAAGAAAGGATCAAAGGGACCAACAGGCAGAGAAGGAGAGAGAGCAAAGATCTGAGAGAAACGATAGGCTGAGAAGGGAAATAATCCAGAGAAGAGGCTTCGAAGAAAGGGGCGCAAAAATTGAGGAGGTTGATTGTTCAAGCTCCTCGCCGCAACTCCAAGAAGGCGGGAAAGAATACTGCCCAGAAACAGTCAACCCAGTAGGCGTTGACAGTCATTTCAAAGCAGCCACCTAATCGAACTTGTTCTGAATAACGCTGCTCAGCTTGTGATTCCAGGGACTGTGCGCTTCTGTGTGTTTTAAAACACCCAGGTTTAAATGTTAGAACGACAGCAAGGGGAGCGTCAGGGGTAGAAAGAATAGAACAATGGGCTGTGTTTGGGAATGCTAAACACTTGAAGGGGCGGAAGACTTAGTCATTTTGTTTGTGATAGATACCACTTTCTAATTCCTAGAGTGTGAACACTCGCAAAAACGTCAAGCGCGCCTACTACGTGCCACCTCCTGTCCTGGAAGCTCGGATTCTCTCAATACAGAGAACAAAGATTACTGCCCACAGTAATCTTTACAAGAGGGGCTGGGAGACACCTTGTGGATTAATAACTAAGGTTGACACTTTTTCCTGATGTTATCATAGTAATTGTTCTTGCCTCGTGTCTTTTCCTAACCTCAGCTCCAGCCAATTATTTTCTGTCATCCCACTCATCATTCTCTTCCTTTAAGCCAATGCATGATTTGTTTTCAAAGAAAAAAAATAGAAGTGTTCCCTTTGTTTATAAATTAGATCCCTTTAGATTTGAAAGAGAGGAGTGTTTGAACTCCAGGCTCTTAATTTGTGGTAGCCAGATTTATGTCAGAACAAATTCTCTGCCAGGTTTCTAGGAACCAGTCAGACAAGTATGTGAGGGGAGAAACTCGGGGCAGCCAAAGGGGCACGAAAGCAGGACCTGAGGTGCGGGGAGGTGAATGCTGTGCTGCCAGAGTGGATGACAGGTTTTGGCTGAAGATGAATTGAAAACTTTCTGGCAAAGAGAACCAGTGGCAAAAACTTAGTAAAGCATTAGTCATTTAATTCAAGATTTTTGGCATGTCATAGAAGTTGAAAGCTTTTTCTCTGAGGCTTAGAAAAGATAGCAAGCTTTTTCTCTGAGGCTTAGAATAGATAGAGTCTAAGCTGAATCTCCTAGCACCAATAAAAATGTTCCTCTAGATAATATTTAGGTTATATGATGTTCTAGTAAAGAAACATGACTCCTGTTCATCCATGGGAGAATTATCACCAGTGTTTATAAAGAAAGCCTGTCGTCTAGCCCATGGGTCAGGGATCCACAGGCCCTTCATGTCTCCTACGGTCTATGGAACTTGCTAAACTAGAGGGGACGTGGCCATGGCAGCCTCTTTAGAGCCCAGCAAAATCACCTCTTCATATATTCATCGTTGCATTCCATTTTTAAAGAGTTATATTTCCTGGATTACCCACCTCCTACACTACTAAAAGTTGCACATTTCTTTGTTAGGGTACAAGATGATGATGATGTCTAAGTGTGTTTAATGCTGACATAACCTAGTTAAGAATACTCATAAAGCATGCCTTATTATTGGCCAGCAGTTTCATGTCTGCATTTAAAGTCTTCTACCCCATAATTCACAATACTGGATGATGGCTCCAAGAAAGAGCCATCATCCAAGGACACAGGTCTGAGCAATTTCTCAAAGAAAAATTCATTGTAAAAAAAGAACCATGACAAACGTGAAGCACCAGGGAAACCTCCCTCTAAGCAAATCTTCTAGGGACACTACATCAGTTTAGGAGCAGGTGCTGAGGAGCTCATCCCCTCTGAACAGACCCAAACAATTTAATCCCTAGAAAATCCTCAACTAACTTTTCTTTGTGAATTTTTGCTAAACTTTCTATTTTCATTTAATGATTCTGCTGCAATTAGTCTTTTCTTTTTCAAACCAAATAGTTCTTATGAAAGGAGGCTAAATCATTTCTTTACATAACACTGAAAGCAATTAGCCTAATAGGTAAAAGAATGCATCCTACCTGGAGTTTGGGAAGCCCTCCCCCGCAAACTTCTAAATAAGGGAAGGCAGGACTTGAAAAGAAATCACCTGTTGGGCAACAGTTCAATCAACTAGAATAGAAAGCAGGCTAATGTAATTTTGCCCACTGACTAAGCATTCTTGCAGGTCCGTTTATAAACCCAACAATTGTGCAATGAATTGTGAACGTGCTACATCTTGGCCTAGACCACCAGGAACGGTTGTGCAATGAATTGGGAAAGAAAACTGGTCCTTACCAGAAGTATTCACATCCCTGGAATGTGTCTATTTACAAAAAAGCAAGGAAGTAAACAGGTGTGATCACATTTTTATGCAAACTGACAGGATGAACTAGGAGGAAAAAACAAACCTTACACTGACCACCACCAATTACAACTTGAACCACCAGCCACATATCCCCATTCTGCCACAATTCTAGGTGCCTCATTAAAATCCAGTTGGGAGAAAATAGGATTAAGAAGATTTGTAGACTCAGATTTTCAAAGCGAAAACAAAGAAAGAACTTAAAAATTATCAAGCCTGGATTTTAAGTGGAAAAAATTAAAGGCTAAAAGATAAATGTACAATTCATGTAATCCCTAGGGAATAAATGCCCAGTAAATATTAGTTAACTGAATTAATGTCCTAGATGTTTGTCCATCTCTGAACTGAAAGACTCATCCCCATGACGGTTAATACACGACACCCACAATATAGCACTTTGGCATTTGAATATTTTAAACTGAAGGAGTCTAAAATAATGGCAAAAGGAAAATCACTCTGATCTGTCCCTTCCCTTATACAGGTGATAAGGTCCTCATGTGAGAGGTATTCCTGGAGAAAAGGAGCACCGTAATCACCTAGACTCTGGCGTTGATGTTTCCCCTAGCTAACGAAATCAGCCTTTGCTCTCCACCTCATCCTCTCACCTGACAGTGCTTAAAATCACCGGTCTCACTGTTTCCCTGGGTTTTCATTTTCTCATCAAGACTCTCGTGTCAAAATGAAAGGAAACAAGTTTTGTTGAAATAAGATGTCTAGGCCAGAATGGAGAATGGAGCCTTCTTCCCATATGCCATTCAGCGCACAGAAACTATTCCTCCTGAACAGAAACTGTTTCGAATCTGTGAATCCCCAACCACCCAGCCAGCTCAGGCTGTGGATTTTCTTGTTCTATATTCTTTATCCTATAAAAGCAACCTGCTTTTATTTTGCAGTTCCCCCAAGTAGCTTAGCTTCCACCTAAATTGTCTTCCTGTAAGCATTTTTGAAAAACAAGTTATGTGCTTTTTCCTGTTAATTGTCCATGTCACTTTAATTTTCCCTGTCAGGGACCCTGAGTGAGGAATACTCTTCCCTCGGTTTCCTTTCGAACAGAAGTTTAAAATTACCATATTGACTAGTTCAGCTCAATATTCCATCATGCCTTCACAAGAAACAGATACACCCCCACATCCTTGAGTGCATGAGGCTGAGAAGGAAAGACTTCACCAGGGTAGAGCGTTACCATGTGTTATGCCAGCAAAGCACAGAGCAGGTTCTCAGGTTCCAGGCAGCCAGGTAAAGGGGAGTCCTGGAGCCTCAGTAGCTTTTTCAGGCTTTTAATGCTCTCCCTATACCATTTGTAGTAAGACAACCAGATACAGGGCAGACAGGGAAGGCAGGGTGAGGGCAAGGTGGGCAGGAGGCTGGCAGGCCTCACAGCACCTGGCAAATCTTTCCTCTCTCTGGGGACAGCCTTCTCACCTTTTCTCTCCACTGCTCTCCGCAGTACCGTCCCCTGCTGCTGCCTTTTTATGCCTGCCTCCAGGCCCAGGTGCCCCCTTACGCACACCCACAAGCACTCCAGGAGTCCACCATCAGGCACACACATCCCAAGCTCACGCTCCAAAGCACCTCCTGCTTTCTAGGCTGCAGTTGATAGCTACAAAGGCCAACTTCGCAAAACCCTGAGCAATCTTCATTTACCCTATACAAGGCCATTAAGGGCAAATCAGCTTTGGCTTTCTTCCTATAAATTGAGAGTAATACCCAATAGTTGCGGGAAATAGGTGTTTATAAGAATTTCAAACAATATCTGACACATAATATAAGCTATTATCATTAATTTCCTTCAGTAATTAATTATAATTTGTGATCACCAAATGCATTTAAAACACTCTATTTTTATTCTGCCTACCTGAAAAATGTATTAACTCACAATGAGTTTATGCGTTAAGGAGTTTAGCTAATGCAGTGAGTATCAAAGAGGAAAAACTACCCTCTGAACTTTAATTAGTGGAGGTCTGTATTGCAACCATTTCAAGCCAAGTAGGATTACCGTCAGTTCTAGCAACTG